AACTTGACAAAATATTCGCGTTCATTTTTTTCAAATGGAGGTTCATTTTCACATTTTGTTGATAGTTTGGATAATCGGATCAAGCTAAATGTTATTGAATTGTGTTTGGCCATTCGAATTACGTTTGCCCTGAAAGAATGAGAGTTCTAGCTTCTCAGATGACTGAGATATGAAGCATAACAAGCTTGTTCATTACGTGTGATCAGGTGATTGGTTTACCTAATCACGTGATAAGGTGACCCCGTTAACTACCCCGTTAAACATTATGGGAATTGTTAAGGGTGCCCAATTAAGGTGTCGTGTCACATGTGTCACATAGTCACCCAGTCAATTTGTTAACGAGATACACAAAATGCTTGTTAACTTCGTCATTTCTAATCCGTTTTGCCTCATTTTTTCAGATCATATGCAACATTTGATAATCTACCGTCTCTAAAAAAATTAGGCGTTCAGGATTTTCAGAGAAAACAATATAGGTGTTTTAATATTGAATGGGCGTGGTCTAAAATATTCGAATTTTCAAATTTTGACGACGGAATCCTCGAACCAGTAAGTACAGTATGCCATCTGCAAAGCAACAGCTCTCAAATATAAAACTCAGCGGAGGTATAAGACCCAACGTTTGCACACTGACTTTTGGCCCACCCTGTATATAATATAATTTTTATTATATATATATACACGATATAAATAAGCCCAAATGATAGAAGTTTAAACGAAATGGGTATGCGTCAATGCGTGCTGCAGTCCGACACGTACTAAAGTTCGACACGTACTAAAGTTCGACACGTACCGAAGTTCGACACGTACCGAAGTTCGACACGTACCGAAGTTCGACAAGAGAACATCAACTGTGTAGATTGTAGAACGGGATATTCATAGGGATAAATGTTGTATATTAGATTAACTTTAAATTAATTGAGTTTTTTCATTGACCAATCTGGAGTCACTTTGATAATTTGATAATTGTTAGTAGTTTGTGAATCGCATGATATGTGTCATCACGATTCACAAATCACTGAGCACCAGAGTGATTGCTTAAGATAAGGAGATGATGGATCTAAGAATAAAATAACTGTCAAACCTTGACCGTTTATAAACGGTAGAGTGAATTTGAATTTATATAACTGTCTCCAAGATGCAGTTAACTGTCACCTAGATGCAGTTAGGCCTAACGCCTAATTTAGGCCTATAAATTTAGGCCTAACGCCAAAGTTAGGCCTACGACGAACGTTTAACATTTAAATAATTGCTACATATAAATGCAAATTCATAAATTCAAATTCCACATGTTTTTTATGAAATGGAAATGTGACGGTTGCTAGTTTTATGATAAATATATGTATGTTCAGCTAAAGGGTGGTCCTTGTTACGTTGCACATAATTTATGATAATTGATAAATCAGAGGATAAATTAACTGGGGACCCCAGGCTATTATATCCACCAGCGGGCTATATTTGCACCAGCAGGCCCTCGCAGCCCGCGAGTTAGAAGACCTGATATATCCCGGCCCGCTGTTACAGCCCGCTGATATAGCAGGAGCCCGCTATACCATCGGGCGATATATATATATATATCGCCGCGAGGGCGCGGGCGATATAAATATCCGCCCGCTAGGCTGTGTGGATATATATATTGTAGTTACTTTAATGATATAATTTCTCAGAATTGATGTAAATAAACGATGCAAAGACTTTCGAAGATCTAATCACAACCGCTTTCTTTTATTGTGTAGAAGTCCAGCCATGAAATATATATATATATATATTTATGTTCATAATCATAGAGATTCGGTGGAATGACAGGCTGAGCGCCGCCCAGTAAAAGATAAAAAGAGACCCGATGGTTCATTTCGACGTACGATGCAACTAGGTCATCCGTATCCTTGACTTTAGGGGTCGTTCACATTTTACGTAATCATGTTTTGGAACAGTTTTACACCCCCCTCTCCGTAATCAGTTTTACACATAGCTATTGTGTCAAAATTACACTAGCGTAATCATTCGGAAACCCCCCCCCCCCTCAGCTGATTACGTAATATGTGAACGACCCCTTATGCTCCATGCCACGTACCTTTAAAAGCACCATATCATTACATTCAGCAGACCTATGTTAAACTTAATGGATGTTGTTGCTTGCGGCGGTGGCTGTCGTTCTTGGTTCCTAAGGGATTGCGAGAAATAACTTGGATTCAAGAGGTCTGGATTGCGCCAGGATCATTGATATTCTTATAAAATATAACTACATATACCCATAATATTCCTTATATACGCTATTTATAAATACTCCTTCAATAAGAGTGACAGTCTATCATTAGTCACTCATACGTTAGCAACCTAGAGCTTAGCTGGACGCCTTTATGACAAGGCTACTAACTTAACAAAGCCTTAAATATCGTGGGTGGTATCAAATCGGGTTTTCTATATTCTCGCCATGACAAAAATAACGAAATATATGTCATTCTTGTCATAATACCGATAATGGTCTTTGTCGGTGTTTTAAATTCACAATTTTCAGTCACTCATTCAATTTTTATGAGACAGAAGATCATGTTAGTTGTCGTTCACATATTACTGAATAATAAAATCCATCCGCGATAAACACTCTATAAACACTCTATAAACACTCTATAAACACTCTATAAACACTCTATAAACACTCTATAAACACTCTATAAACACTCTATAAACACTCTATAAACACTCTATAAACACTCTAACCATACAATCCATAGTTAATATTTGATTAAAGAGGAAGTATCTGTTATTAGATAGGTAAATTTACAAAATATATCCATAACGAGATTTAGTTGTTGATAATTGATATCTTGGTTAAACTGAGCTGGTAAAGTGGAAGGCGATGGGGGGGGGGGGGGGGGGGGGGGGGGTATTTATCGTTCAAACATTGGCCAATCATGTTTTAAAAATGATATTGGTACTGAATTAAACATACCTATCTGTTAAACGAGGAAGAGTACTGCTCCCTCCAGAGCGACAGAAGAGTAAAACTTCATCTTGTAAACGTCTTTTGTCTTATGAAAACAGTGGTCATACTGCGCCATATCTCTCACATACGGATTACGCATAGGATACTCATCAGTTCTTGGATCTTTACCTTAGGGAAGCATCTTGCTTTACTGATCATTAAATTGAGGAAAGAAAAATAGCATATTAATCGTTTTCTTATTTTACATTTTACAGAACAGAAAAATTATTAATATTTTATCACTAATGGAAAAAAGCGGTTCAAAGTCTTACCATTGATAGTCAGCCAAATGAATTGATCCGAAAGGTCTATTATGACGTGCGCTGTATCTCCAGTGACTTTACTCTCTGCTGGCATGTCTTCTGTCACTAAGCACCCTGAGTAGGCGTGCCCAATTCTTGTTCTCTGGCTAGGATAGTCAAAAAATGAGACAAATTCCTCCAGAGTTCCTGTAAAATTAGTATGGTGTTATGTGAAAGTGTTTGTTGCTGGAACATTTGTTCATTCGTAGACGAAATTGATTACGGGGGTTGAAATTTCGGACAAACGGGGGGCAGTATCGAGATAGCCCGACCACTGGTCCGCGGACCACTGTCCGCGGACCACTGTCTGCGGACCACTGTCTGCGGACCACTGTCTACCAGATCATATTACTGTATATTAACAGTATCCCCTGAATCAAGCAGGGTTCACATCATCCCCTGAATCAAGCAGGGTTCACATCATCGCACGCGAATTCCAATCAGCGGTGGTGTCAAGGAAGGAAGTCTCGAGCATTCTCTAGGGAGGCGGTGGGTCCATTAATTTCGTCCATTAGACAGAAGAGTACCATGTCAGGAATTGGAATAGTTGTTGTTGTTGATGATGGCAACTGATAATACTTCACCAAAAACGAACGACTTATATACCACATTTTAATCGTAATCATTTATTTCATTGAGCAATCAATATTATTCGTAACTAATTATATCCGAGAGACCACATTTGAATCGTAATCAATAGTTTGATCCAGTAATTTACTACGCTACAATTAATTATGCTAGTCGTAACTAATTGCATCCAAGATACCATACATACCATTCATATGATCTGGTAACCAATCAACTATTCACAAACACCTGTTGCTTGATTCAGGGGATACTGTTATTATACAGTAATATGATCTGGTAGACAGGTGTCCGCGGACAGTGGTCCGCGGACCAGTGGTCGGGCTATCTCGATACTGCCAAACGGGGTGATATGAAAATCCGAGATTTAGGCGGACGTCCTAATTAGATGGCCCCCTGAGTAAATAAAACCTAACAAGAAATATATGTATGATAAGTCTAATCAAAATCTAACCCAAATCTAACCCAAATCTAACCCAAATCTAACCCAAATCATTGAAGAAAGAGATCGTCTGAGTTGATTCTGATCCGGGATTTCTCTTATATTTAAACTCGATACGTCTCTTATTGAATCGAAATTCTCTAAGATCGGTTTCACATTCTTCAGCTTCACAGTTGATAAATTGGTTCCCTGTATAATTTTGTTAGTATAGAATATTATTTATTAGTATTGAAAATACTATGTAAAAAATGAACTCTCCTAATTCAGTAAGTAACCAGTAAGTACTAACCAGTAAGTAAGTGGTTAACCCTAACCACAAGTTTACTTACATGATCTTGTTGACGTTGAGGTGACTATTAGCGCTCCTAACAACGCTGTACATATCATCTCCTGGCACATGATAGTAACTAATTAGAGATGAGATATTAAATGAGTTTAAATGTAATTAAACGTGAAGTCTGACACGAGCCCTTTAATATGATGTTGCACTATTCTATTTATAATATTTTCCGGAAATTATTTCACCGAAAAGTCGTGGACACTGGTAACTGATAATTTCCCGCAAGGGTTACCAGAGTATTATGAAGACTGATATCTGGATATTATCCGGTTGGAAGAGACAAGGACAAGTGAAACAAGGAAGTTAGGAGTAAGGGCAAATTTTCGGCGTCAACGCCATCTTCAGGCTCAAATTATTTGTTATATAGTAGTGTTGAAAGTATTAAAAATTTTAATACTTTTAATACTTTCAACACTACTATATTACAAATAATTTGAGCCTGAAGATGGCGTTGACGCCGAAAATTTGCCCTTACTCCTAACTTCCTTGTTTCACTTGTCCTTGTCTCTTCCAACCGGGTAATATCCAGATATCAGTATTTCAATCATGAGACTAATAAACAGCGAACTACTCCGTTATTTGATATTATGAAGACAGACTGCGAGTCACCTCAAATAATTTTCATAAAGTTTTGGATTCAGAATATATTTTATGTAATGAATACAAGTAATTCCGGACATGTTTATCGTGTTTGGGTGCCCATCATATTATACTGCTAGGGCCCTTTTCTCTAGCAGAATATCACTGATCACTGATTGCCGGAGTGATTGCCTATTAAGATAAGGAAACGCTGAATCTAAGAATAATATAAATGTTAAATGTTCATCGTTTATGCAAATTCCACCGGTGTCTTAGGGAAATGTGATAGCTTTATGATAAATATGTATGTTAAGTTGAAGAATGTCTAGAAAAACGATCACGGACCACTGATCGCCGGAGTGATTGCCTATTAAGATAAGGAAACGCTTGATCTAAGAATAATATAAATGTTAAACGTTCATCGTTTATGCAAATTCCGCCTGTAAATATTCAACCAAAATTATGAACATAATAGCTTTTACAACGGGGTTCTAGATGTTCTTTAAATGTCCTTCGATAGAAAAGCAACAATCTGTTTAACATATTATCTGCACCATGGTCAGTCAGAAATCAGCTACATGCGGACGGCTAGTGGCTACCTGTGGCCTACAGGCTGTGGGTGGCTACCCCTTTAAATCAAGCTTATATGTTCAATCAAGACAAAACAATACTTCCAAAGCTGATGAGATTAATCTAGTTCAGAATTCTTCTCCCACCACCGTTATTCCTCCACTGTACTTACTACATACCTAACATAACTCCACCAATCCACAACTACTTTAATGCGGTACGTTTAACTGTGAGAATTGTGGAGAGTTTGGAACTGCAACAGGATGATATATATATATTCACAACAAGCGCTCCCAGTTTCAAATTATCTCTAAATCCACTGTAAAAAACTCTGCAGGATTCAAGGCATTGTGTCAGAGAGAAAAAATGTCAGTACAGAAACAATGAAAATTCCACGGAATTGATTTTTTAACGCCTCACAGTAACCACTTACAGTAAAGGTCATGGTTAAGGTTTTACTGTTAGATATCGAAGGGTTTAAGAATATCTGTTGAAGACACGCCAGTGCAGCAAGTTAGTGACTTTACGTACTTAGGTACAATTATTTCCAGCGACGGTACTATCGACCGTGAGCTGTCAGCTAGGATTCAGAAAGCTTCCGGAGCCTTCAATCAACTGAGTAATATATGGAAAAACCGCAACATCCAGTCTTATACAAAGATCAGGATTTATAAGGCAGCAGTTTTGACAATATTGTTATATGGTAGTGAGGTTTGGAACACAACCAAAAAGCAGCTACATCGCTTTGAGGTGTTCCATCAGCGTTGCTTGAGGAGAATACTTAGGATAAGATGGCTCGATCGGGTTAGAAACACTGAAGTGCTGGAGCGTTCATTGGTGCAGGCCACTCGAATGATTGAGGAGACCTAATCAAGTAAGTTAAGAATATAATTGTCTATAATAACAGTCTGGAGTAAAGGCGTTAATACAAATTACATTGCCATGGTTATAATACTTTGCCTGCAGATATATAAAGTACATACTATTTATAGATTCAAGCTAATCACATCTAATTTTATTGTCCTCTTCGACGACTCCCGAAGCATATATTTCCTCCTTGAGGAGCCTCGAGCACAGACTTAGTGAGCTAAATTTTAATGGTACAGAATTCTCTCCACCTAGAGGATTCCTTGTCTACTATGGAATTTTCTTCTGCTATTTATTTTGTTATTTCAACAAAACAAATTAAAGTATAAAACCACGGGGTCATATTACAGAATAACTGATGATATTGCAGAACATATGCATGGGCAGGCTATTAGTTTATTTATTGCTTTTCACTATTCTAGAGAAGCTTCACAAATAAAGAATGTAGATTCCTAATTCTGTACGGATCCATAAGTTTCCACATATTTCCTCGAATTAGACAAAAATATTACTTGAATGTTCTCGTGCATGATTAACTCTCTAATGGATTTTTTAAAATTGGGGGGGCAAATGGAATCCCAAAAGAGATGTACCTATACCAGTCCCTTTTAGCGGACTGCGGAGATAATATGTACGTATATAGTACTGATATTGATGAAGCCAGTACTAGTACTGATATTGATGAAGCCACCAAGTGACCGTCCAATCTAATCGAATTCCCTATTGCGCGAAAACCGAATGACATTTAACTGGAAAAAGCAAACTGACCGATCGTAATGTTGTACCATGCAGTATGTATGCGCGCGCGCTATACACATTATTACTTTTATTTCAAATCGTGTTCTGGTTAATCTATCGTTTTTAAATGATTTAATTTACCAGTTAAATCGCCTATGATATCAGCTACCACACATGTATAGTTTAGTGGCTGACCATGCTTTAGTGCTCCTTCATAATGATGAAATTGCTAGGTAACAGCTTGATCCGTACGAATAGACCACGTTGCACGTGCATGATTGCTTTGTGCATTGTCCATCTAGAAAAAGTTACAGAAATTTTTCTCCTGACCTAAAAAATCTACCTATCTAAAGATGATTCTTTCATTGTTAGACAGACGATCTCGATACGAGATAACCCAAGTGGAGGAAATCAGGATAGAACCTGATTTCATGAGAAGAGCTCCATCGCTGGACTCTAATTGTTCCGATGAAGTTGATAACCTGCCCGTCAATTTTGACACACACAAGATCGCTGACAACGGTCGAGGTGTGTTTTGGATTGAAGAAATCAACGAGGTTGAAGGCTTAACTTCATTTATTCTTCCTGGGAGTATCGAGGATGACCCGAATGAGATCGATTGGAGTGATTCCTTCAATTACACCGAAGAGACCAAAGTTGAACAGCCCTTCAACTTACTTCCTAACGGGAAGCGAAAGAAAAGTGTTCGGACTAAAGTAAAGAATATGTTTAGGAACAAATCTTACCGTCGACGAGCAGCGTATGCATTCGACAGTAAATCGACATCACTCGGTGATGAGCTTGCTGCATCCTTGGATAAATTGAAGATGTTCATGAAGAACTCTATTGAACGTCTCCGACGATCAGAACCATCGTGGCGTCGTGGACCCTGGACCAACTTTGACGACGTGTTCAGTCATGGAGGCCGAGGGAACAACTTTATTCCTTTCATGAATCTAACTCCTGCCACTCGATGGTAAAGAAGATAACGAGGAATAAAAGATAAGGACTAAAGATCACGGAAATGGACTGAAATGAAAACGGAACCTGAAACCACTACAAATGTGATTTTATAACCACATACCGGATTTTACTACTACAATACCGATTTTACAACTACAAATCGGATTTAAAAAAAAACTTTTCAAAGACTTAAGCAAACACAGTATAGATGTCTAAGTCATTTTATTTTAGTCGGCCTTATGCCACAGTGGGGGGAGCAAAATAAAAAATTACTTGCTCTTCGTGCCAGCCTCGTAGCTTTGCTAGATCGTGTCGTGTGACAGGGTCTATCAGAACTAGAGGTCCCACTGCCGCGGATCTGATCTGGCTGATGATCCTGGAGAGCGGTCATCTCCATTAATTGTCTTTTTAATTAACCAATGACATAATATTAGTATGTCAACCAGTCGCCATTTCATTTCAAAGTATGTTATACTTCAAATCTTATAGAGCAAAAATTCTGATTCAAAAGAATCTTGTTAAATCTCGTCTCCATTAATCATGTAACAGGTTTAGATTTAAAATCTAAATTTTCCTTACCTATTATACTATATATATGCAATGCTGTTAACTGCGCGTGTGCGCGTGACTCATTGAATTTAATGTATTCTGAAGTTAGTTAATATATTATTTGCAATTTGATTATGAAACGATCATTGAGGGTTTATAACGTGATCTCCGAATAAAAATTCTTTAAGAATTCAATGAAACAGCTATTCCTTATTGGCATTCGACCAAGTTGGCTAGAAATGTCCACGGCATTGTTATTTTATCATCTTAAACAATTTTTCAATTACCTTAGTTCGTTTAATTATGGCGGGTTATAAATGTGGCGGTTTTTTTTTTCACAAATTCCGCCATATTTTAACCCGTCATTGTTTTTACCCGCCATAATAAAACCCTCCGAGTCAACTTTTGGAGTTCTGACAGGGTATATCATGGCATAATAATTTTATCGGTCCTTTATTTGTTATTACATTGATACAATTACAATTACAAGTGTCGTGAACTCACTATTGTGTATTCATACTTACTTCCTATTCATATCAACAAAGATATTATTATATACTTTGAAACTGCAAACAAAAACGCAGTCTGGAAGGAAAATTGAATAGAATTTTGCAATATGGCAGGTAAATTCAGTGGATTTTCAAATTTTGTTCTGAAAATAATATTGTAGGTATAAATAAGTGGCGGGTTAAATTTGGCGGATTTTGGGAAAATCTGCCATATTTTTACCCGCCATTATTTTTACTCGCCACAATATTATCCGCCATATAAGTACACGAACTAAGGTATATGTCATAATAATAATATTTACAGGTAAGTAGATCACCCCCGCGCATCAGCGAGGACCTTGCTAGGGTTACACTTACATCTTGGTGACAGTTACTACTACAATTAATACTACGTCGGATATTCAATGACCCCAACGACTCAAGGATGGGTAACAGGTAATGAAACCGTGTCAGTGTAACATAGGGCTCGTCTATAAAAGTAAGTCAGTGTAAGTAATCCGGTGTGTATATATTTACATTTAATTTAGGCCAAAATTACTTTTGGCATTAATTATAAAACAGAAAAGTTTGAATTTTGACTCGTGAGCCGAGACTCAGGGTAAAATTTGACTCATATTTTTAGCTCACTGACTCAGATAACTGGTGTTGTGAAAACTAAGTCTCA